ATAAAGAGCCTTACATCTGTTTCAAGAAATCATCTTTAGAAAATCAACTACAACCTCCACATGGTCTCCTCTGGATTCTCTAGCTTAAGAAAACTGCCATTTGGCTTCCTGTGTCGCTGGCAGGGATGATTGACATTAGAAATGTGGGTGTCTCCTCATAACAGTTCCTAGTTCACCACAGGTTCATGCACAGAATTAATTAATGGAAACCACAGACTCACCATTGATGTGAATGTCAGCATTTTTACCACCTGATGGAGCATTCACCCGGGCAATGCAAAAGATGAGACTTGTAATCAGGGTAGTGCCTGATGTTTATTTAAAAGAAAATGGATGCCGGATGCTTGCAGTCCTGTACCTTCCCAATCTACACACCATGTGGGTGTTCACCTCGAGCACAGTGCGGAGCCCAGGCAGCCATGGATTTACCCAGGGTCACACTAACAAGTGGGTTCTGAGTTTACTGCAAATGACATCTGAACAAACTCCTTTTTTCTGAGTTCCACTCCTTTGAATCCTGCCAGTGACAGTTTAGGGAAGCTCTGGGACAATGTCTACCTGAATGAGGGGACAGGGACCCATCCTGACCGACTTCCACTGTCATTTCCTGCCAATCCCCACTCCTATCCCAGGCCCTGCACAGTCTCCCAAAGAGGCTGGCGCCATGTGGTCGACCTACTTGGCCCATAAAGTTAGTCAGGTTCTGGTGCAGAACCCGGGTGTTGGCTGCAGCCTCTGATGTGCTGTGATCAATGAAATGTGGAGGGAGCGAAGCTGTTACCTCTGACACAAGAGTCTGGAAGCACTGAGACTGGCATTCCCTCTGTCCATCTCTGATAACACCCATCAGGTACCTACATAGTGCTTCTCCTTTATTCCCATCTCAGGAGAACCAGGGTGGACATGCGTTATGAACAAGAAACATACCTTCTTTTTTTATTAGCAATATTTTTTTAAAAAATATATTTTATTGACTTTTTACAGAGAGGAAGGGAGAGAGATAGAGAGTTAGAAACATCGATCAGCTGCCTCCTGCACATCTCTTACTGGGGATGTGCCCGCAACCAAAGTACATGCCCTTGAACGGAATCAAACCCGGGACCTTTCAGTCCGCAGGCTGCCGCTCTATCCACTGAGCCAAACCGGTTTTGGCGAAACATACCTTCTTTAGTATAAGCCATTAAAGCTTTGGGGCTGTTCATTACCTGCAATAACATCACCTCTCCTAATGGGAACACAACCCCTATTCTACTCTCCAGGAGGCAGCAGAGCCTAACATTAGAAGCCAGAGCTCTGTTGTTGGAGACACATGGGTTTGACTTCCAGCCCTGCCTTTTATTAACTCTACAATCAGGCAATTTATGTTGAGTATCTGAGCCTGGATTTCCTCCCCATAAAATAGTTGATTAAATCATCTCAGGTGTGGAGAGGATTAAATGAAATAATAATAATGCATATATATAAGGCATTAAATTCATGGCCCGGCACATGCAGTGAACATTCAGTAACTGTTAGCTCCACCGCTTCACAATGTGTACTGACTGCAGACATTCAGACAATGTAGGAAACATCAACCTGTTGGCCTCTGTATCCTTTCAAATACTACTTTTAAAGTAATAGGATAGGATCATATATATTCTCTCATAGCCTGCATTTTCTCTTAATAATGTCATAGTTTTATATAAAAAATAAAAATCTGATGACTGGAGTGACTCAATTGGTTGAACAACCTCTCATGCAAAGAAAGGTTGCCAGTTCGATTCCTGGTGAGGACACTCAGTAGCGGTGTGTGTGGGCTCGGTGGAGGCTTGCAGAAGGAGGCTGATCGGTGTTTCTCTCCATCATTTAGATCTATAGTCTTCAGGAATCAGTGAACTAGTACTTTTCACTTCAGGGAGCATTCTGAGCTTCATCCAATCTGAAATAATATCTCCAAACAAGAGATCAGTTGCAGACAACACTCCCTAGAAACCTGCAGCCAGCCACCAAAACCTAAGGTTGTCATTTCCCAGTGCCGATCAGGTGCCCCATGGCCAATACTGCAATGGTCAGCGAGTACTTGGGATCCTAATGCCACCTGTTGGGCCTGCAAAAATACATTACCCAACGGGCAATGCGCCTAGTGATGGCTGGGTTTAGCTAATGAAAGCTCAGGAGAGGCGCATTATCCAGTGCTCATCGCTTGGCTGTGACTTCCGGAGTCTTTCTCCCTGTGGTCCTTTTGACCTCTTTATTCTGTTACCATAGCCAGAGGCTCCAGCGCTGGGGGTTTAAACTACATTGAGGCATCAGAGGCAGTGTCCCTGCTCTGCAAGGTGTGTCTGAAGCTTGCTGAGCAGCCACTGGTGCAACTGAAGCCTCCTTGCTTCCCAGACTCCCCTCTGCTTACAGAGTTCCATTCAGCCTCACACCATTTACGCTCCAGGCTCTGGTGAGGGAGCCTGTCAGGTCCTGCAGTCCAGGTCACAGTTTCCAGAAGAGTGAGTCTCAGGTGGGTGACGCACGGTGTGACACGGTGAAAGAGGGAAACAGACTGCAATGCCAGCCAGTAAGGACGTGGTGGAGTGGCTCACCTGGGAGGATACCAGACACCGGGGTCTGTTTAATGTCAAAAGGCAACAAAGAAGGTGAAGCAAAGTTTTGGGTGAGGAATTTTTCCTTCATTTCAGGAATCTGCTGCCGTTGTTGGCTGTGAAGACATGAGGGCCATTGTGTGAGGGAGAGTTCTAACCTTTTCTCAAAACTTCTCAGAGGAAGAACCAACTAGGAGAGAGGACAACAGTTAAGGACAGGAAGAAGAAGTCCTTTAAAATACAGAAACCTAGCAAGAGTGTGCACTGAGGACCGAGCCCTAAAGTAATGCTGGCATCTCAAAGTCACCTGACCCTGGGGCTGGGCAGCCCAACTCATGGATCCTGGTGGTGGTTGCCAGGCTCTCAACAGACCTTTAGTTTCCACAGATTCCTGCCGATGCGGAACCACTTAGGGGGACTTGTTTGTGGAGCTTATTTCAGGGCCTCCCAATCTTATGGCTTCTGGGACTGTCCAGCCACTCTTCCAGCCATTAGATGTGGGGATCTTGAAGACTCACCAATCCCGGAATACTAAGTTCTGTATTTAAATATATGAGTAGTTCCTGTTTTGGCAACCAGTGGAATGGGATATGAGAGGTCCTCCCAGGCATATGTTCTAGAATATGCAAAGGCTTAGAGTAAAGACAGGGTTTGTGGGGGGACTTTGAAGTATCTTTAAACAATCAATAAAATATATATTTTTTAAAAATGGTATCGGGAATGTAGGTACCAGGGTAGAGTTGTAGGTCATCTGTTTTTAACTGAAGACCAAAGAGCAATTTAAACAAGATGAGACTTCAGCTGTTGTATATTTACTTATTGAACACACACCAGGATTTTTTAAAAATATATTTTTATTGATTTGAGAGAGGAAAGGAGAGAGCTAGAGAGATAGAAACATCAATGATGAGAGAGAAATATTGATTGGCTGCCTCCTGCACATCCCCTAATCGGGGAGGGGGGGGAGGAATCGAGCCTGAAACCCGGGCATGTGCCCTTGGCCAGAATCGAACCTGGGACCCTTTAGTCAGCAGGCCAATGCTCTATTCACTGAGCCAACTGACTAGGGCACACCAAGATTTTGATTGAGCTTTGTCTGGGGTGTTGTCCTCAGTCTGGTTGATTTGCTTAGGGGCATGAGTGGTCATCTGTGAGACTCACTGGGCAGGGCTAGAGGGCATTAGGTGATGGGACTTGAGTGCCGAAGGCTGTGACTGGAGAATGGAGATCAGGTGCAGCACCAGTGGAGGTTGAGTCTGCATATATGAGACCTGATGTAGTTCTCAATAGATGAGGTTGAGGGAAAATACAGTCAGGGAAGGAAACCTTCATAGCCGGACTTGAGGCTGCCTCAATGAGTGTGGGCTCTCAGAGTGGGTATAGAACTTAATCCTTTTTGGATTTGCCAAGCAGTCACTATACCACACATGCCGAGTATTGACTAGGAAACCAAGGATGTGACTATGGGGGCTGTGGGTGTGGAGTGCAGGTGTGAGAGAGGTGTGGCGAAAGAGTGTGCCCTTGGAGAGGGCCTGTGCATTCATGCATGCAGGGCCCTAACATTGATATAAGAGGGAATGAAGTTTGAGTTCATTTCTGGTGATGTCGGGATACTATGATATGATGAATTTCAGATCAATTCCTGAAAAGAGGGTGTGGTCTGGTGGTATATTCCTGGTCCAGATTTTAGGAGAAATTTATGTGCACACCTGCCTTTTGTTGTTGAGGGCTGTTACAGTGATCAATAGGAATTAGATAGCATTCATCAGTTTCATCTGGCTTGCAAATATCCACTAGCTTGGGGAAGGGTGAGAGAGAAATAAATTATAGAGGTGGTGTATTCGACATTTGGATAATAAGATAAATAGAAAATAAACTGTGCTCGTCATGGTCAATTCGTGTTACGTTTCACATTGTGCCTCTGGGAATGAAGGTGTGTGAGAGGTGTGGTTCAAAACTTATGTGCAGCAGGTAGTGCAAGGTGATGGCCTCAGCACCCTGGGATTGTGTTTAAAAGGTTGAAGTCTGATGCCATAATTTTCTGGGTTTGAAATTAGAATGGAGAGGGTGTCGACAAGGCTATTGCCTAACAGGAACAGTGTCAAATCACTCATAGTCTCCTTATGGACAACATCTCTCCCTACCCTATGTTCATGACACCCACTGTGCTGACAAAGGACAGTGTGGCCTCCATGTGAGTCCCAGAGCACAAGTATCATCTATATGGATATCTGCCCTTATTGTTGTGGGAAAACACACTGTCAGTAGGAATATAAGCAGAGAATGACTTTGATGGGACCAATGCTTGGTATCTTTTCTGGTATTAGGAGTTGAGGGAGCAGATATATGTAAAGTGTGGGGAGCATGATGAACATAAAATCCTTGGAGTGAAGCTGATCATGGACTGTACTTTCCCCATTATGACAGGATATGAACTTTGAGGACGTGTCCATTGCCTTCTCTCAGGAGGAGTGGGGGCTCCTTGATGAGGCTCAGAGACTTCTGTACTGCGATGTGATGCTGGAAGTATTTGCAGTGGTATCATCTGTAGGTAAGCCCTTCACATCTCTCCTAGTGTTCTGAATGATGTCCTCTCTTCTTTGTTTTCCAAATGTAGCTTTCTCTCTCCCACAGCCAGACCATGGGCTAGTTTCCCCAGCTGTCCTGTAAATGTGCTGTGGCTTCCAGTGCTGACTTTTGGTGTGTGGAGATCCCTGAGAAAAGGACTCCATGAATAATCCTGAAATCCATTGCTTCAAATAGTGCAGGAAGTATTCGGGAATCAGGATTATTGGCGAAAGCTTAATGGGTCCCACCTTGAACTTTCTTTTTCTGTGAGGGGGACTATGTCCACATGCATGGCTTCCACTTCTGACTTCTTCCTCAGCAAAGGGCTGTTTGTGACTATGCCAGGTTATGGTCTTTACCTATATGAACCACGTTCGGTTCTTGTAAGACATTCCTTCCATTGTTTGTAATATTCTCTTCCCTGGATACTATTACATGCTGCGTTGATCAGAGCCAGTGCTGGCTGCTCACCTCTGTTGTCTTTCAGTAAATGTCAGTATATTTGTGTTTTATGTGCTTGTACAGTAGAAGGTGCAAAGAGAACCCTAGTTTTTGTGTTTGTTTTATTTCCCCCCACAGTGTGAACTTGCAGGATGATCTAAGACAGTGGTTCTCAACCTTCTGACCCTTTAAATACAGTTCCTCATGTTGTGACCCAACCATAAAATTATTTTCGTTGCTACTTCATAAGTGTAATGTTGCTACTGTTATGAATCGTAATGTAAATATCTGATATGCAGGATGGTCTTAGGTGACCCCTGGGAAAGGGTCATTCGACCATCAAAGGGGTCCCAACCCACAGGTTGAGAACCGATGATCTAAGAGGTAGTCAAGCCAGGTTGAGGTGCACCTGGGAGACCTTTGTCCTAAGAGCTGTGTTTAGAGAATACTAGGAACCTGCTCATGTCCAACAGAGTTTAGGTTCAAGTGCCACTGGCAGCAGCTCATTTCTACCTTTTCATTCACATGTTTGACACTTGCTGACTTCTCTTTTGATCTGTGACTTCCCGGATTTTAGTTACCTTTACCTCTGTGGCCTTTTTGCATCCCCTGTCCACCTGTAAGGCTCTCTGCAGTATTCTCTAATGTTAACGTGCACATGTGTTATGAGATGCACACACGTGCTTACGTAGTCCTCAACACAACCTCCTCATTTCTTGTATTCTACTTGGAATAAGATGTAAGTAACCTTCTGCACAGCTTGCCCATGTCACCAGCAGACAAGCCCAGCTGAACACTGTTAGCAGAAGAATGAGCAGATGATCCAACTTCTATTCCATGTGGTGCTTGCCATGTTTCTTTATATTTTGTTTGGGATCTTCCCCGTTTCATGATCTTCAGTAGCACAGAACTTCACAGCAGCATCTTAATTTTCTTCCTACCGATATGTTACTGTCAGATAATTACATGGAACCAACATCTTAAGTGCAACACTTTTGTAAAGGCACTTCTCCCTGTCACACAGTCGACATTCATTTTGGCACTATTTTTCTGTTTTCAGGTTGTTGGCATAAAACGGATAATGTGGAGGCCTGTTCTGAGCAGAATATATCTGTACAAGGGGAGTCACAGGTCAGGGCTTCTAAGACAGCTCCAGCAACCCAGAGGACCCATCTTTGTAAGCGGTGTTTCTCAGTGTTCAAAGATATTCTGCATCTGACTGAATCACAAGCAGCAGACTTTGAGCAGAAAGCCTTTTTCAGTGATGCATGTTTGACAGGCTTGTGTTTCAGTGCAAACCCTCACCAGCAACAGAGGGAAGCCAGTGGAGAGAAGCCCTGGAAAGGAGCTGTGGACAGGGCCTCATTTGTGACCAGGTTCAGCTTCTACTTACCAGGGCTGCCTTCAGCCAGTAGGGAGGTTGGGGAAGACTTCCCAGCCATCTCAGAGCTTCTCCAGAACCAGGCCACTCTCAACACTGAGGAGCCACACAGTGGCAGTGAGATTTCACAGGAATTACTCAATAGAAACAGGCATCACCAATGCAATAAATGTGAAAACGCTGCCAGCCACAACCAGAACCTTGTTCAACATCAGGGCATCTGCTCTGGAGAAGTGAAATATGAGTGCAATACATGTAGGAAAGTTTTCAGATGTATCTTTAACCTCAATAGACATAGGAGAGTTCACACTAGAGAAAAGTCCTATCAGTGTACTGACCATGGGAAGTCCTTCCATCAGAGGTCTTCCCTCACTGAACACCACAGAGTTCACACTGGAGAAAAACCCTACAAATGTAATGAATGTGGAAAATCATTTAGGCGCAGTTACCATCTTTTTATACACAAGAGAGTTCACACTGGAGAAAAGGCATATGAGTGTCATGATTGTGAAAAGTCATTCAGGCAAAAGTCCAATCTCACTGTACACCAGAGAGTTCACACTGGCCAAAAGCCGTATGAGTGTAGTGACTGTGGGAAGTCATTCAGGCACAACTCTAATCTCAGTAAACATCAGAGAGTTCACACTGGAGAAAAAGCATATGAGTGTCATGATTGTGAAAAGTCATTCTGGCAAAAGTCCGGTCTCACAGTTCACCAGAGAGTTCACAGTGGTGAAAAGCCATATGAGTGTTTTGACTGTGGGAAGTCCTTTAGCAGAAGCTCTAATCTCATTCGACACCAGAGTTCACACTGGAAAAGCACCTCATGAGTGTATTGAATGTGGGAAATCTTTTCGCTACAAATCTCTCCTCGTTCAACACATGAGAGTACACACTGGAGAAAAGCTTTAAATGTGCAGGTAATTTTTTATCTTTCACTCAGAATAACAATACCAATGGAGAAAATTCTATACCCATTTACCTGAATAGGAATCCCTTTTATCAGAACATACACTCTGCTAGATTTTTTATAAGTTTCATGTACAATTGAGGTTTTCCAAAACTGCATCACACCTGCTAACTCAGTCAGGCCTCCTACCTGATTGATGTCACTGCGAGTATTTGTGGGGAAACTATTTCACCCCTACCACCTGGCTCACCTTTAGAGTGTGCATCACTCACAGCCTCTGCATACTCTGGGGTTGTGCTTGAGAATATCATGAATATTCCAAGCTTCATGCTGGATCTTCATTTCTTTCTCTCTGACTAGAGAATTGATCTGACCCAGGTTTTTGTCAAAAGCCCCCTGCCTCAGCTAAGAAGTGCTACCTCTTCAGGGCCATTGTGGTTCTCACTTTATGCTGTGGGGAATTGTTTCAGGTTCCAATTCACCATCCTGAAAACCTCTTGCTGTCCTTTCCTCTGGTTTATGATCTTTATGTAAAGGTGTTTTTTCTTTGGTACCTTAAGTTTTGTTGGATGTATTCACTTCCTGGGATGATTGAAAGGAAAATAGTGATATGTTAGTATGGACAGGTGAACAGATATGGTGGGTCCCAAACTATCTGTGCTTTGGAAGGCACTGCTTCATGGCAGAAAATCACTCTTTGTTCAATATTGGCTGATTTTTGCATCACTGACCAAGGCCTTGAGAGAAAGTGTGCATGACTTTGGGGTTCTAATTTGCTGCCTGGTGCCTCTTTTATCGAAGAGGTCATTGGTCACCCTGAATAGGCAGGGTTTATTGTGCTCTGTGAACAATATGAATTATATTCTCTGTGCACAGTATTTATTACTTAAGTGTCAGCAATATTTAGGCAAACTGCTGTCCACGTGCTGTAAAGAGGCCATGTGTCATGATGTATGCGATTTCATAGGATGGTGTTATTAGTTGTAAGACTCTAAGGTGGAATTAGTATCTACACTAATAAAAGACAAACATGCAAATTGCCGTATCTTCGCTAGGTCTTAAGCCACACCCGCCAGCCAATCAGAGTGGCTATATGCAAATTACTCCAACCAAGATGGTGGTTAATTTGCATATATGGGCTGGGAGCGAAGACTGAAGACAACATGGAAGGGAAGCGCTACAGAAGGGAGCAAAGTAGAGGCGGTGGAGACAGGATGTGGGTGGGGAAACCCAGCCACAGCAGCTGGGAGCGGGAGGGGAAACCCAGCCAGAGTGGCTGGGAGTGGGAGGGCAAACCCAGTTGCAGGGGCTGGGAGTGGGAGTGGAAACCCAGCCTCAGCAGCTGGGAGTGGGAGGGGAAACCCAGCCGGAGTGGCTGGGAGTGGGAGGGGAAATTCAGCCTGAGCAGCTGGGACAGGAGGGGAAACCCGCCTCAGTGGGGTTCTCTCCCTTCTCTGCTTTGTTCCAGCCACAGGAAGCCCTGTTCTTGCAGGAATCTTCCTCCAACGGGGTCTACTTGGGACATAAACACTGTTTGCATAGTCATGGGAGACACTGCAGTTAAACTAGATGAAAAGTGTCTCTTCTGGACGTAAATCCAAAATTACTCCGAGGCCTGTGGTTTGTATGATATTTGAGGACATTCTGAGGACCTCCATTGCTATTTCCTGTAGCTGAAGTCACTGGCAGAGAAAATAATCTAATGGTTTTGTGGATTCCCCAATTCCCTCTATGGTGTTCACCTCAAGGTTGTTGCTCAACAGGCAAGACCTCAAATCTAGAGGAAGCATAATGCTATAATCAGTCCCAGGATGTGTCTTTTGTAACCAGTCAGCATTCCTGTTGATTCCAATGGCAATAGTCTTCACT